GCAGCTTGCAAAGAAGAGTGGTACATGCCCATCGGATGGCCAAGATAAGAGGCTGAGAGGAGGTTGATTGCTGGCCATTGAGAGCAGGGTTTAGGAGGTTGGGGAATTGATATAAAAAGAAAAAAAAGCAGCAGCCGCAGGAGGAGTTGAGGGAGCTAACGGGAAGAAAAACTAAAAGCAAGAGAAAGCAAGGTTGAATTTGGGCAGTGGACGGCTGGAGGAGAAAACAGAGAAAGGGAGGGGCTGAAGTCTGAGAGGAAAAGGATTAGCGGCGAGAGTTTCTGGGCAGAAAAGAAAGGAAACAATAGAAAGATTTAGTAGTGGCTGAAGCCGAGAGCAAAAGGGAGAGGAGAAGAAAATGCAGAGGATTCCAGGGAGGATGGCGGCTAAGAAAATTGAGAGGAGAGATTAGGGAGTGACCGACTGAGAACAAAGTGAAAAGAGAGGGGGTTAGGTTTGAAAGCGTCAATAGAAAAACGGCAAAGGGAGCAACGGGAAGGGCCAGAAAAATTCCAGATTTTGCACTGCCTTCATCAAAGCCAGTTGCAGGTCCCTTCTGAATTCCGGTCTCCATTTTCCTCAAGACAAGATCTGTCAGGTAACCTCTTCTTTTCATCTTTCTCCTCTATACATACACAGAATTATATTTGGTTTCTGTCTTCATTTCCTGTTTCTGGTCGGCACTTTCATTCCCTGTTCCTATCCCTGTTCCTGCCGATTCCATGTTCCTGTTGACTCAGATTTTTGTGTCGATATGAATTAGGAGAAGAAAATGAAGTCTTGATGAATATGTGGGCTTTACTTTATCGTTTCAGTCTTTGTTCTCCATGTTGAAGTGATTATCAGTTTCTGGTTTGAGTTGGAAAGTTTGAAACTCACCTGAGCTTGATAAAACCGTGACTTTGAAACCATGTGAATCCAGTTTTTGCTCTCACTCGCATGCTTAGTGTCAAAACTTGATGATTTTTTTTAGAAGTCTGTCTAGAGGTTCCCTTTATCTCTGATGCGTCCGTGAAGTCAAGATTGCGGGAAAACGGCAACGAGCTCGAGTTTTAGCTCGTTGCAGCAGTCCCTTGTCGCATGGTTAGTTTCGAGTTTTACCAAAATTTTGCTATCTAGTGTCAATAAAATTGCCCTGTTGTCTTATGGATTGGTATGTCTTTCTTTTGTGCTGTTTCTTTTGGTAGTAATACATGTGAGTTGCATGTTTTTGTTGGGATGGGAACGGACATAATATATTGGCATGTAAGCAATGGATTTGGCATCCATGAAGAGTTTTTGAGTAAACTTTAGCAGGTCGTAGTTCATCCGTGTGTTTCCTCTTGCTGTTTTCCTTGCCTGTAACAACCCAGTCCACCAAGAGGCTTTCATTACCTACTTGATGATATAAATTGGGCAAAGGGTGTTGGGTTTGCATGTTTGGGGAAGCTGAAATGCTTGAACCATATGCGGATGCTTAATGAAAAAGTGAATTCCAGGTTGCTAAACCACTGTCACACGAATGTTTTGTCCAGATTTTACATGCTTTCGTGTCCAACTTTTGGTGTTTCAATCTACAAGTTTCATGATGCAAAAATAAGAAGAATGTGTGGTAGTTTGTTTGGATTTAATTGTGTTTGAAAAGCTGTTTTTTAATTTGTGGGGAAGTGCAAGAATTGCAGAGGCTTCAGCAACCAGAAATGCTGCAATGAAAGGAAACCAAATAGGAGGAAGCTCTAAGGCTTAGTGATCCTATCCTGGGGTTTCCTTTGCATGATTTGGATGTTAATTGCCAACGATTTTACTGTTTGGATTCAAAGTGTTTGATGTTCAGTCTAGAAAGTTTAATTGAAGCATATGTTTGAATCTGAAAGTGAAATGGCAGCAGGTCGGAACTGTGGAAAGTCTTTGTAGCTGCTGCATTTTTTGTATATTTTCCCTTGGCAGAAAACCTTGTCCGCACTTTTGTTTGCATAAAGATCTTTAGTGTTTCTGATTTTTGTCATTTCCTTGCATGCATGACAAGAACTTGAAGTTGGTTTTCGATTTGAGAGGTTAGTGAGTCTGCCAATGCGAGATAGCAGAAGTTTAGCATGAAAATTTGCAGAGAACCTTGCTGCATTTTTTGTTTTCCTTTTCCTTTCGGTCAACTCCAATTCTTTGCTTCAATCCTGCAACAAAATTTCATGTTTAGTTGATGATTGATAGTTAAAATCTTGGTTTGGTGAATTTGTTTGCATGATGAAATGGATGAAAGGTTGTAACTGAAATTTGCAGAAACCAGCAATGAGAAAGGAAGCATTCTGCGTGTTTTGCATGAAAATATTCTCAAAATTGCAGTCTAGTCCCTTGTTTCTTGGATAACTCAACTAGGGCCCAGTTAATTGAATAATTTCATCAATTTGGTCCTTGGTAGTTTTAATTTTACAACTTTATTGCATGTTTGTTTCAATTAATTACTATGCTTTGTTTCAATTGCAATTCAGTCATGACTTTAGGGGTTTTGTGACCAAGTGAGCTTGTGTTTGCTTATTTTCTTTAATTTTTCCAAATAAATTGGTACATTGACCATTTCTTTTATTTTGGAGGATAAATAAGTGATTTCATTCCGTTTAAGGCATCAACTCAAGGGAGGTATAACTTCTTTTATCTTTTTTTGTCTCTCTTATGTGAACCAACGTGCTACGTGAGAAATACATGTCTACTTTGCTTTCTTAGCCTTTCCTTAATTCCTTGCATTTATTTCATCTACTTTTACTTTTATTTAAGTTATTCTTTAATGGGGTATGTGTACACCTCTTGGCTTGTAATAGATAGGGCTTGGAGGAGCATTCAATGAAGACCTATCGAAGTCATGTGCCTAGCTAGCAAATGTAATAGTTAGGGCTTTAATTGCCTTATGTGTCTTGCATGCTTAGTTGCTACGTGTTAATTTGCTTTGTTAGGGCCTTGCATCTAGTCGAGCATGCTAAATGTTATGTGCTATGTGTTTATAAGTGTTTGGCATGTCTACTTGCTTTCCATAGCCTGAATGAATGTGATGGATGAATGTACGTTTCCACTAGTCCAACGCTAGTCGGAATTCATAGAATGAACTAGTCCAATGCTAGACCCTTAGGGACTTCCCCTCGTTAGTACATGTTTGCATATTCATTACATGTCATGCATTCTTTTTAGTTTTATCATTTTGCATGCCCCTCGAACCCCTTTTCCCTCCATTTTAGGATTTTTGCATTTCATGCTAGTTATAGGGTTCATTTGCTTGAGAGTCCCCTTAAATATGGGATATAGACGAGTGTGGCTTTTTCTAAACCTTAGCACGCTTGTATTCCCTCTATAAAAGGGCAAATTGAGTCACAATTTAGGTCCCCCGTACCCAATATGCATGAATTCCCTAGGCTCATGCATTTTTAAATCCACTCTACCATTTTATACCCTCATCACACTTTCATTTTTCCTCCCATTTTGCACACGTGCACCTTTATATTTTCACTTGCACACGAGCACTTTTGTCACTACTTGCACACATGCACTCCATATTATCATTTCACATACTGCACCTTGCCCACTCACGTGCACACTCTCACTTACACATTATTGTCTTTTATTGCTTTTTCAAACTCATGCCCTCACATTACATACATGCATTCCATTCATTTGCATCCCACTCGCATTATTCATGACTCCTTCAAAGGATCGTTGTTGGGCTTCACAATTAATGTGATTGGCACCACTCAACCTTTGAAGAGAAATTTCCCCCAATACCCCTAGGTCTAGGGTTTGCATTCATGTAGTGCATCCAAATGTAATAAATTCTTTGGTTAAAACAAGAAAATCTTTGATTAAATCACGCAACTAGCCTTGGCTAGGTCGAAGGGGTGCCTTGGATTTTTATCCTTGCCTTCCCCTTTGTCAAATGTGACTCCCGAACCTTTTTCTTTGGTTTACGTGGACTAGGAGTCGTTTAAAAGGGTTTCTTACTACTTTTTCCTATTTTTCTTTTAAAAATTCATTTTTTTGGTGATTTGGTACACCTTAACTCATTACCAAGTGGCGACTCCAATTTTTATTTCAAACCCTTTTTAAACTATAATTTTGGGTCAAATCGTCGCATTTTCAACCCCCCATTTAGACCCATTTTTTCTTCTAAATCACAATTCATTTTCCAATCACAAAAAAATACATTTTTCAACCATTTTATTTATTTATCAAAAATGGGGCGCGACAAAATATATGCACTAGTATCCAAAGAAAAGGGAAGCTAATTTCACAAAATAAACCCACCATCATAAACAAAGTAAGTTCCATTTATACAGTTTGTCATCAATGATCAAATTCCCTCAATTACAAAAGTAATCTCAAAATGGAGGCAAACACACCAAACCAAAATATAAATGACTTTTGTGAGAATTCATGAAATACAAAAAACTATTGAACCACAAAAATTGTAAGTGCATTTATGAATTTCATCAATTAACACCATCTTCAATTCAACTCTTCTTTTAGAATTATCTAAGAATTCAAGAAATCATTCAATCAAGCACCTTTTCATTCGTTAGGTAATCTAAATTCCTCACATGAATATCAAAAACTCCCACTAAGCTAATTAAAATGCTACATTTGGCTACTTAATATGCAACTTTGTTACCAAGCCAAATTAACATAAAACTAGCAATAATTCACCAAATAAATACAATAAATGCAAATCACAAAATTTATTTATCACTAACAATCACCAATAGCATCAACAAGCTCAAATAAATACACCTAACTTCACATATAAAATTTGCCTAAAAATAGAAAATATTCAATCATGGCAAAATTCAAATAACAAAGTTAGGTGAAGAATTGTTACCTCAAATTGGTTTGGTGATGTTAAGTGATGAATATGATGTGAAAACCCCAAGAAACTTACTCCACTTTGACCTCAATTGAGTGATTTCAAGAAGGTAGAACATTAACTAATGGTAAGCTTGAACCCACTTTAGAGTTGTTTTTGTGAAAGAATATGAACTATGAAATTCACTCTAGAGGATGGGAGAAAGTGATTTGGTGAAGGTCATTTGTAGATTAAATGGTGAAAAGTGGTGTTGTAGTGAGTGGTGTGTGTTTGAGGTGTTAGTGTGTGAGTTGGGTTGAAGAAGAAGGGAGAAAAATTGTGAGGAATCCATGAAACGGATTCATCTTACGCTGGTTACTGTTCATAATCCGGCCAGAAATTGGAGGGATTCGTGGAGGGATTGCTGGGGATTCTAGCCAGAATTTTTTTTTTTTTTACAATCCGGCCGGGTTCTGGCCAGTGAGCCCGAAAAAATTTTTCTTTCTCCCCTGACTATCCGGCCTTCAATCCGGCCAATATTTGGCCGGATTTATGGCCAGATTTGCTGCAGAAAAAGCTGTTTTCTGTAGTTTTTCCTCCAAATTTGCTTGGCCAATCTTTCGCATTCTACTAGTATCCACTTGCTTTCATATTCTTTAAATAAAATCCAAGTTTAGCATGATCATGCATGATTATAATTTTAACATGAAACACTTTAAATGCATGAAATGCAGCAATTGAACATGAAAACTCCCTTTTTGCCTCAATATAGACACTTTTGTCATTGAAATCATTTGCGTGAACCCTTGCCATTGCCACCTACAAAACACACAAAAACGCTGGTTAAACAACTAGAACTTACTAAAAATAGAAATCGTTGGGTTGCCTCCCAACTAACACTTCTTTATAGTCATTAGCTTGACTATATCACGTCATTATTAAGGAGCTTTAGTTAACGAATAATCCACCATTTTTGGACGTGGTGGATCATTAAATGGTGACTTTATAGCAAAAGCCACATGATCTAATAATGTGAGAAATGAAAGTGACTTACCTATCCCAAGTGTTTCATAGATATTACCTTGAATATGCACCACTTGAGAATTCACCAAAGGAAATGCCATAAGAGTACCTTGGGTAGGAATATCTTTAAAACCTGTACTTTTTATACACTCCTTAAGAGGGATGAAAAATGAGTCATTAAAACTCACCTCTTGAGATTCAAAGTTAGCTCCAAAGACATTATTATGTGAAATGAACATTTTCTCATTGAAACACAAGTTAGAATCATCATTTTGATCAAAATGCAACCCATTTTCACATACAACATTCCCACCATTCATGCTAGGATCTTTTGGCAAATTATTAGAGGAAATAGCTTCCCATAATGCATTCAATTGCTGCATTCTACCAAAGTGAGAAGTTAATCCATCTGTTCTTTCCTCAATCCTATCAAAACGGTCAGAAGTTGCATTTGCTACCTTTTCAATTGCTGCATTCTACCAAAGTGAGAAGTTAATCCATCTGTTCTTTCCTCAATCCTATCAAAACGGTCAGAAGTTGCATTTGCTACCTTTTCAAATTGATTAGAAAAATTTTCTACAGCTAGCTCCCAAGATGCATTAGAATCATTAGCTAATAGTTCACTTCCTAATTCCCAAGGTAGAGGTGCATTAGCTAACTTCTCTATTGCCAACTCCCAAGATGATTTTGATTCATATTGGACACTTTCACGTTGGTAACCATAAGAATATGGATAATCACTATATGTACATTGATTATCCCAACCATAAGCAGAAGAATTACTCCAATTAGCACTATATCGATCAAAACAAGGATTGTAATGCTCTAATTCATCATAATAATCCACATTTTGTACTTGCATACATGTATTACTAGCATGATAACCTCCACACAAGTCACAAATCACATGATAAGAATTAAAAATATTAACATTACTCCCTTGCTCAATTTCATGCATAATTGTGTCCATTTGAACTTGTAGCATCATAACATCAAATTTAGCCTTTAAGCATCTTAAACCATCTTTAAAAGACATGCATTCAGTAAATTCCTGGTTACCTTTGTTGAAGAAGCTTGGCACTTGGTAACCATCCATTGCCAATCTTCCACTTCTCAAGCATTGTCCTCCAAATTAATCTATCCTCCTCATCACCTAAAATTGCTTTTAAACAACTTAAGAGCAAGATTAGTAAAAAGAATAGGTTATAAAACACATATACACAATAAACACTAAAATAACAGAAAATAAAATTCACACTATAACTACTAAAATGTCTAAACTAATAAAGTTGCTCTTCACACCGATATTGCCAAATCTTCCCCGGCAACGGCGCCAAAAACTTGATCGGGTTTTGCTATACGTACAAGTTAAAAAATCCGATTTACATTCGTTTCACTGTTGCGCCCCATTTTTTGATAAATAAATAAATGGTTTGAAAAAATGTATTTTTTCATTGGAAAATGAATTGAGATTTAAAAGAAAAATTGGTCTAAATGGGGTTTTGAGAATGCGACGATTTGACCCAAAATGTAGTTGAAAAAGGGTTTTTGAAACAATTGGAGTCGCCACTTGGTAACGAGTTAAGGTGTACCAAGTCACCTAAAAAAATGTATTTTTTAAGAAAAATAGGAAAAAGTAGTGAGAAACCCTTTTTAAACGACTCCTAGTCTACGTAAACCAAAGAAAAAGGTTCGGGAGTCACATTTGACAAAGGGGAAGGCAAGGATACAATCCAAGGCACCCCTTTGACCTAGCCAAGGCTAGTTGCATGATTTAATCAAAGATTTTCTTGTTTTAACTAAAGAATTTATTACATTTGGATGCACTACATGAATGCAAACCCTAGACCTAGGGGGATTGGGGGAAATTTCCCTTCAAAGGTTGAGTGGTGCCAATCACATTAATTGTGAAAGCCCAATAACGATCCTTTGAAGAAGTCACGAATAATGCGAGTGGGATGCAAATGAATGGAATGCATGTATGCAATGTGAGGGTACGTGAAGTGAGAAAAATAATAAAAATAATAGGATGTAAGTGGAGGTGTGCAAATGTATTTACAAGTGTTCATGTGCAAGTGAAGGGATAAAAAGGTGCATGGGTGCAAATGAGACAAAAGTGAAAGTATGCAAGTGAAGGGATAAAAGGTGTACGTGTGCAAATGGGAGGAAAAGTGAAAGTGTAATGATAGAGTGGATTTAGAATGCATGAGCCTAGGGAATGCATGCATATTGGGTACGGGGAGACCTAAATCGTGACTCAATTTGCCCTTTTATAGAGGGAATACAAGCGTGCTAAGGCTTAGAAAAAGCCACACTCGTCTATATCCCATATTTAAGGGGACTCTCAAGCAGATGAACCCTATAACTATCATGAGATGCAAAAGCCCTAAAATGAAGGGAAAAGGGTTTCGAGGAGCATGCCAAATGATAAACTAAGAAAAATTCATGACATGTAATGAACACGCAAATATGTACTAACGAGGGGAAATCTCTAAGGGTCTAGCGTTGGACTAGCCCATTCTATGAATTCCTACTAGCGTTGGACTAGTGGAAACGTACATTCATCCATCACATTCATTCATGGCTATGGAAAGCGAGTAGACATGCCAAACACTCATAAACACATAGCACATAACATTTAGCATGCTCGACTAGATGCAAGGCCCTAACAAAGCAAATTAACACGTAGCAACTAAGCATGCAAGACACATAAGACAATTAAAGCCCTAACTATTACATTTGCTAGCTAGGCACATGACTTCGGTAGGTCTTCATTGAATGCTCCTCCAAGCCCTATCTATTACATTAGGGTAAAAGGGGGAAAAGGAATAAAATGATTAAATCCCTATCTATTACAAGCCAAGAGGTGTACACATACCCCATAAAGAATAACTTAAATAAAAAGCAAAAGTAAATGACATAAATGAAAGAAATTAAAGAAAGGTTAGGAAAGCAAAGTAGACATGTATTTCACTTAGCACGTTGGAGCACGTAGGAAAAATAACGCAAGAATATAGAAGTTACCTCCCTTGCAATGGAAATCGAGTAAATGAGATATTAGCTTCAAAACAATAAAAAAGGTCAAGGCACCAATTTATTTGACAAATAATCACAAAGGATAAAAATAAACATGAATTTGAATCAATTAAATCATGTCAACAAACCACATTTAAGAAGTCAAGAGAAGAAAGGACTTGATTGCAAAGATTGACAAAATTTTGGGGCCAAAATTAAAGAAAACAAAGTTCAAGGACTTATTTGCAATTAAAGTAAGGACCGAATTGAAAGTAGTTGAAAATATCCAGGGCCACAATGAAATTAAAGAAAAGTACAGGGACTGATCTGCAAATGCGTTCTCTGGTTTCTTAATGGACTAGGCCATGGGGCCATTTTATTAATTTCTTGGGCCAAAACAAATTGGCCCGATCGAAAGTCCAAAGTACTGAAATGGGCTAGCATATTATTTTGGCCCAAAATTAGCCAACCAAATAGATGGGCTTTGGCTCTCTAGCCCAAACAAGAAAAAACAAACAAAATAAACCAAAACAACTTTTTTAAACCCAAACACAAAATAACCTCTTAGCCCAAACACTTATTTCATTAAACCAAACAAAATAAACAAATCAACAAAATTATTAAGCCGCAATTATGACCCACAATCAAAAATTAATCTATCCCCAAAGTCACATAAAATATGCAAACAGAGGATTAAACTTAAAATGACAAAATTAGTTCACTTATTCCAAGTTTTGGGCCATAGCAGAATAAGGGGAAGCTGAGGAGTTAAATTGCAATTTTGGAAGATTGTTTTCATGCAATCTTCATGCAAATGACGTGAAAAACAACATGAGAAACAACATTCTGCAGCAGAAATTTCTGCTGAAAGCTTTCGGCCACCCAGCACTTTACAAAGACAGCCTTCAAACATAGCCAAATCCAAACACAACTATCACACAATTCTCTCACTTTGCATCATAAAGCTTGTAAACTTAAACACCCAAAATCGGACAACAGACATGCAAAATTTAAACAGCTCAAGCAGCCTCATGCCAAGTTTTACAAATTTTCTGCAACATCTCTTATCAAACCATTAGCAACCGAAACTTCAACAAGAGAAACAGCACACCCAACTTGCTTTTTAGTTAAAGTCTCAAACCCAAATATGAAAGCTTTGAACTAAGCGACTAACTACACAATCACCATCATCCAAACAGGAAGAACATTTAGAAAAATCTCATGCAAAATTCTGGAACAACATGCAAACATTTGAAAAAAAGAAATCTGCTGCAACTTTCTCTATTTCTTATTCAACAACCAGGAAGCTTGTGATGGTTCTAAACCAAGCTTTGAACTCAAACAATCGCCAAATTTCATAAGACCGTCATCCAACATAAATGTGAACATACAAGCCAATGAAGTCTAAGATAAAGTGGGGCTGAAAAACACAAGTTTCTAAACAAAAATTCAGGCAGCTTGGTCGAAGTTTTCTGAAGCTACAGAAGTTCACCTACCCGGCGAACATTTGAACACATAACAAAGATTTGGACAGAGTTCCTCAACTCAACATCAAACATCGAATTTTGTCTCCCGCATACAAACATCAGGTAATGAACATACGGCACAACACAAACAGATGACTTGACATGATGGAAAGCATCTCGATGAAAAATGTACCAAATAAACTAACATCAAGTACCATTTCAGCTTTCTTCCGGTCAGCAACATCAGAAATTTAGTTTCGAATCCAAGCACTCTCAATCAGACAATGAAACCCACAAGAACTTCCCCTCCCAACCTTAATTCGAATGCATATGATGGATGCGACAGGAACGGCAAAATGTAAGGCAGCCATGCACCAAAGATTCTCAAATGGGAGGAAAGGAATTGAACTTGATGACTTGTTCATTTTCCTCACATAAAACCGCAGATGAATCATTTTTAAGATGAATTTCTAGTCTGACATTTCGTTGGACAAGAAAGACATTAAGATTTCACTGTCCTTTTGCCTAGTTGATGTTATAATCTGTCCCAAAAATTATCAGCAAACCCAATCAAATTACTCTTAAATAACAGAAATTATATACGTCACATGAATGGGAGACACGAAAAGGGATAAACTACGGGTTTCAATCGAGCATTTCATCAAACACCAGACGGGTATTGAAAAATTCAATGATTTTTGTTCAATTGATGCCATAGCTAGCCCAAAATTTTTGTCAGGAAACAAAACAAAATATCCCAACCAATCCATAAAGCATGCTCGGTCAAAATTGTGGACAATCCACAAAGAAAATTCGAGAAATCATCCTCTGTTTTAAATTTCCAAATATGAACTTGCACAGAAAAATGAATTTCAAAGAAAAAGGATCTCTTACCACACATATTTCCTCGGCAAAGATGTGCCGATGGCGGCGGCCTCCGACGAAGTGGGGGGTGGTGGCTCCTCGCGAGTGCAGCAGCTTCGGCTGCCCTGTTTTCTGCAGCCTTTGTTTTGCTCTCACAGAAACTCTCTTCCATTTCCCAGATTTACTTCCTTCCTCTTCGTCCGTCTCTCTCTGACTTTCTCTTTTTGTTTTGCTCCCGGCTATCCCTCTCTATTTCCTCTTCCTCTTTTCATCCGAAGCCCCCCACCCCTCTGGTCTCTTTCTTTTTCCTTTTTATCCTCCTCCCGAATGGCTAAACCCTCCAAAAACCTGATATCAAAGGCCCTCAGCAAATCTCATCTCACCGCATTTCCTCGATCATCCGATCATCTTCAACTTCCAGCTTTGACAGATGAGGGCCAAGTGGAGCGATCAAACGGAGTAAAATAAATGAAGGGAAAAACCGGCAAATGAGCTAAGAAACAATTTTTGTATCTGCGTTTTGCCGAAAAGAAACAATGAGGAAAGGTTATAATCCTACGCTTCTCAAGGTCCATAAGCCTGTCTCTTTTTTTTCATTTTTTAACACGTAACGAAATATTTTTAAAAGAAACGCTGCAAAATTGAATTTAAAAGAAATAAACACATTTTAGTGAACAATTTTCTTTTTTTTTATTATTAATGTTTTCAAGAAAACATTGAATTTAAATCAAAACAACTAAAGCATATTTTTTTGAAAGCTTTTTTTTTCTTTTTCTTCTTTTTTTCCGAGAAATTCTACGCTAAAAACTTAAAAATAAAAATAAAACTATAAACTAAAAACTAAAAATCGAATAAAACTAACACGACAAATAAAAACTAAAAAAAATAAACAGTAAATGAAATTACACCAAAAATTTGGTGTCTACAGTTTGCCCCTCTTTGTCTGAGT